TAAAAAAAAAATTTTGAATTTACTTACTTGTAGCCGGAGTTAGAGGCGGTCGGATACTTATGACCGCTACTGTAAATCATAATATTTGTAATTTATTAGCAATTATATTATTATACTATTTTTTTTAGTGTATAAAAATTCAGAAAAAGACAAGAAAATTAAAACTTCTAAAAATACTACAAAAAAATCAATTCAATTTATGATTTTTAAGATTAATTTACAAAAATAATTTAAAGTAGTATATTAATAAATTCTGAATTAAATATTAAATTAGTATAATTTATATTTTATTTAACATAATTATTAAAAACCAATTTACTATAAATATGTATTTAAACTTATATTTAATATACTGATTCAATAAAATTATAAGCATATTATATTGAGCATATTATATAAAATATTTGTATAGTAAGCATATGATAATCTTATAGAGCTGTATAATAATAAATATTATTTTTTTATTTTTTGATCTTATTAATAAGTTTTATTTTTTGTAATAAATAAATAAGTTGAATACATAAAATAATTTTTAAATATGGCTTATTTAGTAACATATAAAAATAGTAATTAAATTTAATTTTTTAGGTATTTTTATTAGGATTATTATTGGTTAATATTAGGGTTAGTATTAAGATTAGGATAAAATTAGGATTAGTTAAGAATTATAAAATTTGTCATATTATATTACATTCTGATTGTACTTTTGTTTTCTGAGAATTTGAAAATTTTTTATCATAATTGTCACAATTATATGTCACACCAAATAAATATATATGAATAGCAAAATCATATGATCATTTAATTGTCACTGGATTTTTCCAGAATATAATAAAATTTTGTCATACCAATTTCCTTTTTTTACTATTTATTCAGAAAACATTTTTTTTAAGTTATATGTCACGTATATTTGTCACGATAAGAATTTAGTATAGGACTAAGTTTAGATTAGGTGATTGCATTGGAGATTATCACGCTGGACAACTTTCAAATATCACAAATTGTGCAATCACATGATCGCGAAAGTTTAATTGATAAATTACGTGTTTTTAATAATTATATCAATAAATAAAAGGATAAATTACACAGATTATTATTTCATAGCTTAATTTTTTCTATGAATAAATCCTTCGCTGAACAAACGTAAATATATAGGTCGCACTTTTTTTGCTCGGTTTTAACATTTCAAAAAATCAAATTTCAAAAAAGGTAAAGCCGAAATTATTATTAAATATATTTTATTATTTTGTTTAATTTCCTCTCTTTTTCTCTCTTGAAATTATATATATTATATGCAGTGATACTCTCATCCTTTCGCCAACCTCCTTTATGGCAAACAACTATGGAAAACAACCTTTAAAAATACATAAACTAGGAAGTTTGTAACCTTAACCTATAATTTTTGTTTATTAGGTTGTGTTCTATTTTTTTATATATTCATTTTACGCTGTAGCTCTTTCTATTCTGTAGTCCGTTCTTACACCCGTCTTCTATCCATTATCACTGATATGCAGGTTAGTCAAATTCTTACGTTGTAAAAGAGTTGGAAGCATTAGTTTTATTGTAAATCTATTATAGCATGTCATTTAAAAACATTATTGATTCAAATGGGGCTTTGGTGATAATTTTTTTATTAAAAAAAAATTTTCAACAATCTTTAATTCCATTTTGAAATAATATATTATATAGTGACGTTCCTTGAAACGAATAAAATGAATCATTTAGTCATGCAGACGAATTAAAAAATCAAAAAAAAATAGTAAGTATTCAATGTACTATTTGTTCCATTCCATGAATTCTATGCTTAACGATGATGTTTCTCTAACTGTTACTTTGTTTTCTCTTTTACACAATTAGAATAGTTTCATTTATTTTTGCTAAGACCCTTATTACTTCCCTTCATTTTTCAGCTCGAGTTTATTTTTTTTGTATGTACAATTGGATTTAAATAGAAAGTGGTGAGGTTACCTAGTACATACAGGGCCGTATCTGCTGGCAATGGGCTCCCAGTCTGTCTATTCCCTTATTGGTGTACTTAAGCAAATGTTTATCCGGGAAATCTGACCTAGAGTTTTGGTTAATGCTAATGGGTGGCCCGCCCGAGAAGAAATTGCCTGAATTCATTTGTTTATGATCGGTTGGTCAGCCTTGTTGCGACAGTGCCTTCCATCATAGATGAATGTTTTTGGGGCCAAAAGCTAAGTAGTTAGAGTTCCTCTTTAAGAGGTCTGGCGATACTAGATTTCCTTAGGTTCGGATGATCCATTTATTTAATATCCCAGTGTTTCGTATTTGAGAATATAACTCGAGTTTGGTGGTTTTATTTTGAAGTTTCTTCACCATTTTAATTACAGTTTATAGATTTTGGTTCTCCTTTTAAGTATTTATCATAATTTTTTTTATTAAATAACAAGAGTAAAAGCAATGAACATAACCAAAATAAAATAAAATAAAATTTGCCCACGTTTTAGACCATGAGGCATTCATTCGATAGTATCGTTGTTAAAAATAGATTGAGTCATTTAATATTATCATCTTTTACAGCTAAACCAGCATCCAAGTCGTTCCGTTAAAATTAATAATTATTATGAACGGAATTTTTTTTTTTTTTTTTATAGTTTCAGTACCCGGACACTAGGAATCTATTGACGATTATATGCATATTTGGGTTACTCGCTTATCTGATATAGTTTTTGATATGTTCCATCTGAGCAATTGTATTATTTTCTCTAGCCTAAACTTTATGAACTCGTTTAAAATATTAATTTATATTATATTCTATTTACATAATATTATTTTAAATTTTATAATATTTTTTGAATTAATATATATCGATATGCCATGTGAAAGATATTTGCATATCATTTTCATTTTTTTTCCAGCTATATTAACGGAAAAGAATTTTGTGAAAGGTGGCTATCAATAAAAATTATAAATGGACATCCGACATCCCAATCTCGAACGTGCTAATGGAATTTTACAACAAAAAATTAGGCAAGTGGAAAGAAAATACTGGTTGAAATGATTGGCGATGAATAAATTCAATGGTTCAATCTCGTAAAAAAACTCTAACGAACTTATTTGTACTTGTATAGATATTATACAAATATCCATTGATTATATCAAAAAATCAGATGATAATATGGGAAGTTTGCTAGGAAAATCAGGTTCTGAGAATTTTTTTGAATAAAATTTAAAAAAAAATACTCGGAGCCTAGCAAACTTCCCTTATGACTTTGAACAAAGGTTCATTTAATTATAATTTTATTATTATTATTCAATTCTCAAAAAAAAAAATAAAATGGAACATTAACAAATATTTTATGCAACGGATGAAAAAAAAAAAATTACGTTTTCCTGAGATTCCTGCAAGTATTTACATTATTCTAATTATTATTAATTAATTATTATTATTTTTTTTTTTTTTATATATATATAAAGACTAGAAAGATATTATTCTTAAAAAATTTATGCTAGGTTATCTTAAAAGATTTGGGTCTTTCAAAATTTGACAAAATGTATCGAATAAACCATTACAATTTGATAACACGTTGAAAGGGAATAATGATTTGTAATCATTTAATTTACTATATACAATAAAACAGTAAAAAAAGAAAAAAAAAAAAAAAAAAGTCCAGGTACGTATAACGAATTGTCCATACTTCAGATATTTTTGGGCGGCCTTTTTTTTTATGCATGATCTTTACCACCAAAGTAAAACTGCAGAATTCATTTGAAATGTATTTGTCGCGTCCTAAATTGGAGAATTGACCATATGGGTTTTATCATATGTTGAAAGTTCAAATCAAACGATATCTTGATGGTTTAGCATGTGAAATTTTTTTTTTTTAAAAAAAAAAAAATTTAACCCGATTTTTAATCTCTCATTTTGAATTTATTCTTAGCCAATGAAATATTTCATGAAATTTAATATAAAAAAAATATAAAAAGCAATTCGTTAAATGCATAAATGTGGCTAATTATTATTTATTTAGGCGTTACCGTTAACATATTACCTAGTTTAAATGTAACGCATGCAAATAAATAATTAGCCGATTCTCGAAGGCACGTGAAATCCTAATTTAATACGACAAAAATTCCATTGTCTTTTATTATTTATTATATATGTGATAAATATACATTTTTAAAGAAATAAGATATTAAAAGAATAAAATTTTCTCCGTCACTATGATTTCATTTTTAAAGATCTTTTTATCTCTCTTGTATAAGAGGCATACCGATGATGTTTAACAGGGTGGACCAATAATCCTGTATATATATATATATTTTTTTTAAAAAAAAAAGAAATCTTGTTAAACATGTTCCTTTCCAATCCCCCAATCACCCATCATAAAGTAAGAAGATACTTACCGTTAATAATAGATTCATGATAAATTCTAGCGTTTTCCAAACAAAGATTTTCCAAAGCAACAATAGCATGTTGTTGCATACCCCAAAGTACAAGTTCACTCTTAGCATCATCCTCAAAGCTCAACCCACTACCCTCATTGTCAACCCAAACAAACAATTTGAGATGATTAAACTGCATAGGAGTTTGGGTTATAATAGAAAATATTTGCTGCTTATTATCAATTGGATTAATCCAACAATGAATGAATTTCATTTTACTTAATTTAGTAAAATTGGACAGGAGGTGCCAAGCGTCAGATGTATCCAATTGAATCTTTTCAAATATGAGGTGTTGAATTGATGAAGAGTACTTTGGTGATAAAAGTGGCAATATGTATTTTGTTTCTCCGGAATAGAGCTTCAATTTACGTAAATGTTTCGTCGTATTTGTAGATTGTAAGATTTGTGATAGATTTGAATAATTATCTGTTGGACATTGCATCGTTATCGAAAGCGAAGTTAAGTTGGACTACGAGGAAAGTAAAATGTGAAAGGAAAGGTCAGTAAAGAAAGAAAACGTCCCTTTAATAATTTATTTGTTTTTTTTTTTTTTGTCGATACTCACAAAGTCTTTCCAAACATTTAACATGTCAGGATATCCGGTAATCTCCATTTCATGTATGTCCAATTTTTGAATTTGATTAAAAGACTTGACGAACTGATCTTTAAAAAAACATCTAGTAAAAGAAAACTTGTCGTTCCCTTCTACCTTCTCAACGTAAACAGTTTTAAAATGATTATCTCTTTCGACGAGCATTTGTAACAAACATTGAATAATTTGTTCTACAAATATCCTTTTTTCATTTTTGTCCCACGCGTTGTTGTTATCGGAATTGGAAGGATCATTATTATTTAAACTTAGAGAACTATTTGATCCGTTTAATGACGTAATACTTTTGAGCGAACCAGTAGAATAAGAAGTGGTGATGTTCAATCCGTTTATGTTAAAGGTATTTTCGAACCAATTTAACGCAGAGTTGATTAATCCTTTTGTATGCAAGTTCTTAATAAAGTTAGGATAATTAAAGAAGGGGTATCTCCTACATATCGGAGGAATGTTGGTTAATTTAGGAATGTATTTCTTTATAATCGAAGAAAATTGTTGACATTCTTCTCTGGTTAAACAACTCAATAACGTAGAAACCATTTCTCCCGCATTATCATTAGAGTCCTTCCTTGCGATGAGGGTAAATCGAAACGGATCCCTCCAAAGGAGTGGTAACGCTAGATTACACCATTGTTTGTTTACTAGCGCACAACTGAATAAAGTGTGAGCAATTTTAATATCTTCGGTTTGTGAACAAATGAAAAAATGTTCAAATATTTTCGGTAAGATGTCAAAATTCAATGGTGAATTCTTCAAAAGAGAATTATTATCTGTTTTTAATGGGGACATGTCTAATATATATAATTTTTTTCTTTTCGAGGAAAAAAAAAATTTAAGCGAGAGGGAAAAAAAAAAAAAAAAAAAAATTTTTTTTGAGGATCCGGGCGTTTATTTATTCAAAAAAAAAAAAAAAAAAAAAAAAATTAATAATAATAATAATAATAATAATAAAAGCCTAAACTAATACTAAACTAAACTTTTGAACAATTACATTAATCATAATATAAACTTGTTTAGTATATTATTTTATTGAGAAATCCTAAAATATTGTTTTGTTTATTTGTAAACACCTTGTACTTACTTCTTTACTAATTTATTAGAACATTTAACTTTAAGGAGAATTAAAGTTTCATTTGATGGCGCAGTGAGATTACCGTTTAAAGATTGGAGTAAAATTGGGCAATGTTGATTTTAGACGAAAAAAATTTTTTTTTTCATCCGAGTTACTGAATTTAGTGAAATGAAATTGATTTAAATGAAAGGAGTTCCATTTTTTTTACTTTTTAAAGGATATCAAAAGGGTAGGTGTTTCGCAGATTCGAGGCGCAGTACATGAATAAAAATTAATTTATGGTTCTAAAAAGAGGAAAATTTTTAATTTTAAATTTGATCGGAAAATATTCATTTAATTTCCATGAATTTAAATCTTGTACATTCATTCACGTTATTTTTAAGTAATTTATCTCTTTGAACGCAATTAAAGAAGGAATTTTGGCTCATGTCAAAGTATTCTATGTAGTTGCATATGAATGCCATCGGGCGTCATAACATATCTATGACACATCAATCACATGATGTTTAATGAGAATTATGCACAGATAATCGATCAACCCCACCACCCTACAATAACGACTAAAAAAGAAAAGAATTTAAACATATCTAAACCAGCCAATCAAACCATGATCACCTCATATA